ACCCTAAAATTTTGCTTGTCCCGATAATTATGTCCGACAGCTTATTTGATGAAATTGTCCACACAAGTACTAGTTAAACGCTTTTCTTCCCTTACGCACACCAGAAAGAAATCTAACAACTAACCTGTTTGTTTCACTTATTTTCAATGGCCAAGCCGTAAGGGGAATCCCCTGGTGTCGATCCCGCAGATCCAGCACGGTAAATCCCGCAAATTCGATCCCGCGAAATCATAGAGGGATCCCGCATTTGCGGGATTTAGTAATAAGAATGAATAGTTTTGCATAGTCACTGTAATGGCCAAGTATTTTATGTCAAAGTATTCTATTTATTTCATTATTGAAAAACAGAATCAAAATTGCAGTTTAAGTCTAAAAAATTAATGATAATTTTCCCTAGTAATAAAACCAAACAGACAAGTCACTACAATACACAACAGACACCTATCCTGTATACCCAATTTAAAAATAAACCAATTTTAAAGTTCAAAGACCACTCTGAAAGCTGGAGCAGCAAGAGAAAGTTTTTAATTTCAGCTATCTGATTATCTAATAATATGTTGCTGGTTTTTCAATTATTTCACCCTAAAAAAGGACCTGCTGCTTCTAAATCAAACAGGTTCTTTGGTTCAGCCCGAACCGGTAAAATATCGGTTCCTCAAAGTCCAAAGCGGAACACTGGGCTCGATTTTGTCATATTTATTAATTTATAAACGAGTTTTAATTCTGTCACTCGAGTAATTCGTGCTCCTTTGAAGCACTGTAACCCTTCGGGTTAAATTGAATTTAAAAGGAACACTCTGTATACAAAATTGGCAATTTATGTACCTACACAAATAAAATAAAATGCATGCTATAGCAAAGACCTGACGTGAAAAGGTGTACAGTGGCGTAACAAATTTATCTCCATCAGAAAATGAAAAAAAAACTCAGTTTGTCTACCTGCACACAGCACGAATTAGTTTGGATTGTTTTGACCTGGGTTTTGTTCTTCTTTTTGAAAGACTGTAGTTTTTGCTTGAAAGGAGTAACATAATTTGAAAGAGTTGATATATTTTAATAAAAAAAGCTTTGATTTGAAGACGCAAAAAAAATAATGTGCAGCAAGAAAAACTAAATAATATAATAACACAATTCAGTTGAAATTCAATTTTAAACAGATTTATTGATGACAACTATAACTATATAAAAAATAACTAAAATATTATATCGCAGTTATAGAGTAGAGAGAGAATCACTAATATATTCTTTAATTCTATTAATTAATTAATAAGAGGTGATTAAGTAAATATGCTTTAAATCGAGATTTAAAAGAATAAGGTTGTATTTTTAAAGAAAAATTGTAGGGTTTTTTTTTGTAACGCCACTGGAAAGGTCCTTACGTATCAGGTGTGCGTGCCTGCAAGAGCGTATGTGTGTGTGTGTTGTGTGTCTTTGCTTTAGCAAGCCATCGTGTCTGGTTTTTACAGCCCATCTCCAAGAACTTTGTGGCCATTTCTTGGAACCGAAGCCTACTCAGGGCAAGTTTAGTAAACGGGACAGACGGCATCTTAAATCCTTAACAGTCTCCGTTTTAATGCTTGTTTTGATTATATAGTACCACATGTGGTACCTGTTATATATATACATAGGATAACGTAATGTGCAGAGTAAAGATAGACAGCCGCGTGATATTATTAGATCAAATTTAGACAACATAATAATAGTTAGTTACCTCAATTAGATTTTAAATAATAATTTGATAATAAATATTAAAAAACCCTGACAATTTCTAAATTTATTAAAAGCCATAAACATTTGTTTTGACCTATATATAAGCAAAATGAACAGAAAAAAGTGTTAAATAAATAAATATCTATTTAAGAATACATAAATGACTTGATATCATAAAATATAATAGATATCTACAGAAAATTCTGGGAGTAGAACAGTATATAATATCATACCGTATACCGTATGATCGAAAAAAAATCGTGTCCAGTTGGCTTGGAAATAACGATCGATGATATTCCTCATCTAGAAATCTTTAAATAAAATAAAGGTAAATAAATCTTTATAATTTAGGGAAAAAGATGATCTATTGAGTGATTTAACAACCAACTCAGTGTTTTGGATAACAGATGAAGATACAAAGATAAAGATATAAATAAAAGAATAATGATATAAACGAAAGAAAGTCAGAGATAGTATTTTGGTCACCCAATACAGTATTTTCATAAGAAAAATATTGGGTTTCATGAAGCTGACAAGTTGAGTCGTGAAAAGCAGGTACATTGTCCCTATTTTACATGAGAAAAACGCGTAGTTTTGGAAGCAAAGACGGTTGCACACTTGCCAAACATTAACAAAAGACCTGGAAGGGCAAAAAAAGGTCTAAATTACAAAACGGGCTGCTGTTTACCGAGCTCAAAATGTGGCGCAGTAGTTCGTCTCAAGGGTTGGTGTTCCGTTTTTATAACCAGCTAGATAGATTCTGCTAAAAACATGGTGTGCCTCTTTTTTTTTCTGTTTTGCCTGCTCTCTGTCTCCCGGACCAGCCAAGGTCAACCTTTGTTCATTTCTTCCCGCATTAGACGTAGTCAATTTGGTTTTATGACACAATTTAACTCTGTAGGCCACTCTCTAAACAGTTTTTTTCACCCATAATCGGCTGTAAAAAGAATTCTTAAGCGCAATGATACTGTCCAGCTGCAGTTGTAAAATAATAAATAACTATCATTTAAACTGATTTACAAAAGTAGATAATGGTGGTACCGAAAGAAAATTAAGAGACATAAGCAAAAAATATAAAGATTGAATTTGATAAAAACACTAAATCACCATTGTTTATTGGTTCTTTAATGACAGCTTTGTTTATTAATATATTTAATCTAAGTAAAATTATGAGATGACAGATAAAATATAAAAAGCTGACAATGCTTTTTTCATAAACATAAACAAATTTGTGAAATCGTCCCAGGAAAAAAGCACATATCAAAATTTTGATAACGTTTCTGAAGGCCGTGGGAATAAAAATAAAAATGAATTGGTACGCACTTAATTATACAATAGTAGGTATGACAGAATAATAAAAAGACAATTGATTTTGGTACATCACCACTGTTATTCGCAGTTCATAAATTATTTTTGTCTTTATAAGTCAACATAGATAAAGAAATAAAAATCTGAAAAAAGATACTATGAATTAGCTCATGGCAGTTCCTTGTACAAATCAGGGCTTTTATATCTATAGAAATTTATATGTCATATTATCATATTAAAAACTAATCGAAATAAAATTGTAAAATAATCCAATAATTATAGACACAGGCCAACAACCTTAAAACAGTTTGCAAATCATTGGAAATGTGTAGTTTAACGAAACTAATATATACAGAATGTCCCAGAAATAAGTGCAAGTATTTTAAGGGGTCGTAGATCTCGATAAAAGAAACATACATATATTCTCTTTATCGTTTTTCAAATAAGTCTAAAATAACGGAGTTATTTTTCAAAAAAAAATGATTTTTGCTAAAATTTTGTCTTGTAAATTTAATCTACTACATATGTATGTTGCCATATTATCAAGAAATTGTTTTTTTTAAATAAAAACTAAAAAATTTTCCAAAAAAAATTCAAAAAATTCCGAATTTTCAAAAAAAAAATTTCGCGAGAAACCTCTAGGCGTGTTTCTGGGGTTGAACTATACTACCAGTTAAATTACTTGCACTTATTTCTGGGACACCCTGTATATAATATGTATTTGAGATGTTCTTGTCAGTATTTTTGTTACTCTGTCACAAATTACCTATAACAGTTGCGAAAGAAAGCGACTGCATCGGAAACCGCTCGGCAAACCCCACACGCCTATTGAGTGGTGTAAATACACCAGTCGTTTAGTCCGGAAACCTATGCTGTGTCGTATTCGCTTGCTGGAATGACATAGTGCGTGGTTATATGTTTCTTTTTAAAAACGGGTGTAGGATTTTTGTTGAACTTTTGAACTGTTATTTCTAAGTTTTGGTAATTTGTATATCTTATTTAAAATGGGATACAAATGTGTTTATTTATAAGGTATAAAAATATTATATATAGATATATATAGATATATATATATTTTCACCCAAACACATAATAACACAAACTATACATTGATGCGGATTGTCTATGAACTCTTTCTGAAGGTCACAGAAACCTGAACGCGTAATTCGGTGTTCTTTCGCATCTGTGACTCTGTATCACCACATATCACTTTGTAGTATTAATAAATAAATCATAGCTAACCGAATTTGATATATTTTCAAATAATGGTAAAATTCAACCAAGGACACCCTGTAAATACTAAACACATTAAATTATACAATGGCATAATAAAAAGATCGACGATAGTATCGATAAAATACTACGGTTCGCATTTTACAAAGTCCTCAGAACGTCCGAAATAAAATTACGAATTCGAAATACGTCTTGCAAAGACGTTGTAAACTATAAGCATTCCACTGGCGTATGTATAATCGAAAAGTGTAAAACTTGTGTATATTAAGCATAAAATAAATAAGTTTGGAAGCGATAAAGGCGAAATTTATTTGTCATCGAGGAACATTTGACAGTCAAAGTTAATACAGGACTGCTTTCTTCCTATGGCAACGTTCCAAAACTCGAAATCATACAAGACCGTATAGCAATCTAGCCGAGAGAGAGTACGAAATTTTGCAATATTTATTTTTAAAGCGATCGCATTACTGCGACTTTATAGTTCTTTGTTCGCGAAAGCATTTGAACTTAACTTAATAGTACATTACTGATTTATTTTCTATAATATCTAGCCCAAGGTCAACTAATATAGCCGTTTGATAACATATTCTCCGCGCACCTTTGTTTAAGCAATAGACACATACGTATCCGCGGTATTAAATAAATAATATGTCCACGGTCGAATTATTGAACTAAAATTTATTGAACAGTTATCAAGACATTTTTTATTCGAAAACAAATAGGCATGCAGTAATTAAAATATCACTTACCCCAGAATCTAAGCTGCACCTGATGTCGTAACAACTAACTGAAAATAAAACATATCGTCAGTTATATCAAATGAAATTATTAAAGTTACTTTTTATTTTAAAAAGAAATAGAACTGCATCACTCACCTTAAGTGTGTGAATAGTTACGAAGATAGCTGGTAGATGCACATATCTGCATTCATGAATGTAGGATGCACATGCAAAAGTCCTAATATTTTACATACAACTACTGAAAATAAAATAAATTGTCGGTTATATCAAATTAAAAATTCCAAGTTACTTATTTTTTTTTAAAGAAATAGACAAACATCACTCACCTCAGTATGTTAGTACTAGTTATAATAGTAGCTGTGGATGCACATAACATAACCGCTATGAATGTAAGTGGTGGATGCACATGCACAAGTCCTTTTTTCAAGTCCAACATTTTAAATGCAAGTACTGAAAATAAAGTGAATTGTCAGTTATATCAAATTAAATATTCCAAGTTACTTGTTTATTGTAAAAAGAAATAGACATGTATCACTCACCTCGGTATGTTAGTAGGTAGTTAAGGTAACTGGTGGATTCACCTATCTGCAGCTATGAATGCAGGTACACAGGTCCTAATATTTTAAATGCAACCACTAAAAATAAAATAAATTATCAGTTATATCAAGTTAAGTATTCTAAGTTACTTATTGTTTAAAGAAATAGACTTACATCACTCACCTCAGTATGTTAGTAGTTATGAAAGTAGCTGTGGATGCACAAAATTGCTTACAGATTCTATGTTACAACTGAAAACAAACAAAAATAAATAAATAAACATTTTTACATATATTTTTATATCCGTAATTCAAGTATTGCTACAAAATAAACCATTATTTTTAATTAAAAAATATAGTTTCTGTTAGTGTTGTCACAAATTGCGTCTTATTTTTATTTTCCTGACAATTTAGAAGGTTTATATCTTTTGGGGTTGAATATTTTATTTTATCACATTAATGTCAAAGGCAGGTAGAAGGTTTTAATCGTCTTATCATTGTGCTACCTTTGTCACCAAACCCATCGAAAACCCAACAGACCTTTCTTAAAGTGGAGTCTAAATGGTGCTAAACTATTGGATATTTTGAATAGAAATAAAGAACTTTACCCTGCAATAAAAAAAACTTGCCTAGTTGTAGTTGTAGTTATTTTACGAAGTAGATTAGCACTAAAACGTCTTTTTAAGGCTAATATTAAAGCATAAATTACACATTCAAGCTAACATATACGTTAAATATATTCCACAAACTTATTGAGCAAAATCTTTCATTCTGAGAGAAATAAACATGCCTAAATTAAGAGCTAACTAACCTCAACAGTCGGTTAATCCATGTAGTAGATTATAATAAACCATTTTAATAATAATATAACAAAATATAACACATATAAGCCACTAAATACAAAACTTCGTACACCACCAACGTCGATAAAACTACTAAAATCTGACCTCCAAAAGATTTTATTTGTTAGCTACGTAACGCCAAATTCTTGAGGTATGTTTTTTAAACAAAAAATATCTCCGAACTCAATTTACAAAAAAAATGAGTAATACGGACTAAATTTCCGATTATTCATAAAATACAGATTTATATACAGAGTGATATGAGAATATTTTATTTTTATATTAAACATCTAATAGAAAACTTTAGAACTCAAAACTTTCACTAATTTTTTTACAAAATATAACGGGCGATGGTAGGCAAGCAGCATTTTAGAAAATGCTTATTAATATATAGGGCGATTAAAAGTTACTTCACACTAAAATTATAATGTTTTAAATTCAATAGTATATATTTTTACGTCAGTGGATTTGCTAAAAAATATTAATCGATGCTGTTAATATACAGGGTTAAAAAATAGATATTTAATGTTTGTCAGCTGCATTTTCTATAAAGAAAACGAAGGTATTATTAAACTTAATACCTAGTATAAGAAATTTCTGTTCTCGGAAAATAAAATCTTATTTAAAACCGATTTTAATTAAAGGAATTACAAAGTAAAAGGTGTAATAGGAAAAAAAAATGTTTTAGTATTACATAAAAAAAATAGAGAGCCTTCCATTTGAAATAAATGAAAATATACGATGATTAATTTAAATAACAGCATTATGCAGCTTCCAGCCAAGAAAAAAAATAATGTGAGTTTTTAAGATTTTTAAGAAATCTTATTCAAATAATAAAAGTTGAGCCAAAATATTGAGTAATTAAAAACGAATAAAACAGGAGTTTTTAAACAACTCTACTACTTCTTCAAAATATTTAAAAATAAGACAAGACAGTCGCAATCCATTTTACTACGCACCGACATAAACAATTATGCAATCTGAATTATTTACACACCGAATGCACAGGTTGTGAGCCGTAATTTAATTCAGGAAAAAAATCAATTTATTAAACTGCTCATAAATTGCCGGGCAAATTGAACTTAATTCGCCGATATTTATTGTAGTGCACATTTGCATTTCATATAAAATCGTATGCATCAAAATTGCATTTATAATTAAGCGCTAATTATTACGTGCCCATGCGATATCGGCCTTTAAATCTGTGGTCGCAGCCAATAAATAGTTAAGTGTAATGTTTTAGGGCAACTAAAATGGGACCTAATATATTTTTTTTCTAAACATTTATACAGCATGTTTAAGAATTCATCAAGGAAGTTCCTAAGTTACTTTACTCGAACACATTTTTTAACTAACAAAAAAAGCTTAAGGTTTCTTGCCTATGCTTTTGTTGTTATCTCTTTTCTTATGGAAGCAACCTTTTGTGTTAAGTGAAGAGCTACCCAGAAATATGTCTTCAGAAGTCCCAAATAAGGTTTTTTTACATAAAAAAATATATTTTGTTATCTACATATTATTTTCATGAATTTCTAAAAATGCATTTAATTTGAAAGTGTCAGCTAGAAATAATACCAGCGTTTAAATTCACATTTCTTTGAGAGTTATAAAATGAGAAGGTCAAATAAAGGTCAGAGTGTGGTATCTCCCTTGAGGAGTTAACCCTTGTCCTACACCCACGCCAGTCAAAAAATTGCATTTGCTGGAGAATATAAAAAGAAGGTCCACCACAATCGAGCGGTCACTGCCTGAAAAGAGATGAAAAGTAGTACGTAACACCTGCGAAGTTGGAGTAAAACAATCACAAGAGTTAGGACAGGTTTCGACCTGTCTAGGTCCGTCGTGAACGCTACGTCGACGCCGAGAAAGCTGCGGACATGGACTCACAGCACCAACAAAGTACCTTTGGTAGCTTTCAGGGACCATAATCGCAATAATGTTGCCTGTAATACTGCCAACCGACACAGAAAATAACAAAAACTCATTCTTATTATAAAAAATATGAAATTTAAGGGCCTCCACAGACGGTAAATTATTTAGCACAGGGGGTCTCGGCAGGCCAGTTTGTGCAGTTTAACTACTAAATTTTATTTTTTTTAAAGATTTTCTTTAGTTCTTTAATATAGCTACCTGCACAAACCAGATTTGCACAGGCTGCCTGAGCGATAAAACTGAGAGTGTGTGGGGGCCTTAAAGAATAATATAGTTAACACAAAATAAACCATAGGCGCCGTGTCAAATTTAAATAATATGGTGTCATGATGTCTTTAATTATTGTTGTTTGTAAATCATTATTTTTGTGGTTAAGCGTATTTTAAATAAACATCGCTATTTTATTATTTTAACGCGTACTATAGTGAAATTCATTTTAAGTGTCAAAATGACTTTACTTTTAGCAAATAATTTGCCGAAATTACTTATGAAATCAGAAATAGTACAGATTCGGTGATATATCATGAGTTTATTATCAATTGTCTCTAAAACGATGACAAATAATTACAAACTGCAAAGAAAATTTATTAAAATACCAAAACGTAATAGAAAAATTCAAATAAAAAGGAGGAGAACACACAATAATTTTTAAAATATAATATGACTAAAATTATAACATGATTCAGTGACGTATCACATGATTATTTAGTAACGTATCTAATAATAAAACAAATAATTGTAACCTAAAACGATTAAAATAGTTTAAAAAACAAGCTTCGAATGCTTTAAAAATGAGAGGCGTTATGGTGCAGACGGAATATAAAGAGGACCCAATAAATTAGGATTTCCCCTCTTGTTTCTAACGACTATTTAAAGTGAGAGAGAATGTATATTACGAAAAGAACCTGTTCCTAACTGAACCCTATATTTAAAAAGTACCTAATTAAAAACCTATATTGATTTGCGCATTAACAAACCTTGTAAATTTTCACTTATTAGTCATTCTGCAAAATCAAAACAGAACGTAAACGATGATTAATATCAATTGTTATTATTAAAAGATAATCGTTTTATTAAAAAAAACCTTGATCCCATTGTTTTGACTTCGATTCATTATTATTGATGAGAAAAGGTAATATATCATTTATATTTCAGCTGATTTTAAGTATAGGCATTGATTCTAAGTCACTTTCATTTCAAAAGGTGGCTAATATTTTTTAGGGTTTCCAATTAATTGGCATAATAGGTACTGTATTACTTAGCATCTTCATAGAAAAAATAATGTTTAACCAGAGTTGGTTGAATATTATTCAGTAAACTTTGGTTAAACTTTATAATTCAACAATCAATTGCACAATATAAGAGCTTGCGCATAGTTCTGATATTTCTAGTTCATATGTTATGTATTCCTTTTTCAGTCTACAAAAATAGTAATCTATTCTTCTATACTAATATATAAAATCCTTAAGTGACTGACATACTGATTAATCACGATCCTGCTCAAACCACTCAACGTAAGAAGCTCAATTTTGGCATACAGGTTGATTCTAAGGTGTAGAGGTTCGATAAGAAAGAAACCACCCCTCAAATATTACAATATTTTTTATTTAAAAAACGGTCAAGTTTCTGAAAAAACGCTTAAACACGTATATTTTGTTTTATTTTTTTACATATTTTAAGATTTTTTAAAAATGTATACAGGGTGTTTCGAAAAATCCGGTCATTGATTAATCACGATCCTGCTTAAAGCGCTAGACGTAGAAAGCTGATTTTTGGAAAACAGATTGACTTTAGGGTGTAGAGGTTCGATAAGAAGAGATTTTTCGAAACTCGAATTCTAAGGGGGTGAAACTCTCCCTCAAATATTAAAATATGTTTTATTTAAAAACCGGTGAGTTTTTCGGAAAAAACTCTTAAACACGTTTATTTTATTCTGTTGTTTTACGTATTTTAAGATTTTTTATAAATTTATACAGGGTGTTTCATAAAATATGACCGTTGAGTAATCACGATTCTGCTTAAACTGCTTAACGTTTAAAACTGATTTTTGGCAAACGGATTGACTGTGGGGTGTAGAGGTTCGATAAGGAGGAGTTTCTCGAATCTCAAATTCCAAGAGGGTGAAAACGCCCCTCAAATATTACAATATTTGTTATTTAAAAAACGGTTAGTCTTTCGGGAAAACGTTTGGACAAGCATAATTTATTTGGTTTTTTACATATTTTGAAATATTTTAAAAAATCGTACAGGATGTTCGAAAAAGTTGGGTAATTTCTTAACCACGATTCTGCTTAAACTGCTTGACGTAAAAAGCTTATTTTTGGCAAACGGATTTTTCGAAAGTCAAATTCCAACGAGATGAAACTACCCCTCAAATATTACCAAGTTATATAATAATATCGCCATATTGTTTTTATCATACTGACATAAATGTGAGAAAATTTTATCCAGTTTGTATGTTAATGGAAATTCTTGCTTTGC